GAGATGAATTTTCAGGACAAAAACCAGAAGAAATGCATAAGAAGCTGCCTAATTTCATCAGCCTTCTGATGAAAATCTTACACTTTGATGCAAAGAGATAAAAATAGGACAAGGGAATCCTCATCACAATGTTTTTACTGGGAATCCGTATCAATCTCTGGAGTCTCTTTCTCCCCAGCTTTTTTTTTTTTTTTTTCTCCAGCTGATGCAACCTCCTCCTTGGATTTCCAAACGRGCGAGGAGAGATCTGATGGACAAACACTGCTCTGAAAACAGTTTTGTTGCTGTCTCTTTGGGTTTGTAGTCTGGATTCTGCTCGGTGTCTGCCTTGGGCACTGAACTTCATTTCTGTGTGCCTTCATTTGTGTGTCCCTGAACTGACAGCAACAAGAGATTCCCTGCGAGACTGAGGCCTAAGAATATTCCTCAGACAAAAGAAATCCTAGAAATTATTGCTGAAACCATCCTCCTCTTAGTTTTTTGAAACCAAGCAAAAGGAGTGGAATTTCTGGTGTTTAGAGATTGGAATATTTGGTTTTCTTGCTTTCAAAGCTTTAAGGTACACAAAACAGAGATGCCTGGAAATAAAGGGAATATCAGACAGCAATTGGTGCTTCTTCCCTCCAGGAATGTGAGATCTGCACTRACAAACTCCCAGCTGCATCACTGAAAGGCTTGGCACTGTGAGCAGGAGACACCTGGACCGATTCCTGATAAAACTGCCTGGACCAAAGGCACAGGGGATTCACACATTCCCGTGAAGGAACCATCCTGAACAACCCCTGAACCATTAAATTGGAAGATGCAGTGCTGGGGCCTTGTTTTCTGTTCTGGGATCTCCAGGGATCTCCTGCTTGCACTGGGGTTTTTTTAAGTGCAAAGAGAAAAAAAAGAAAGCACATCCAGAGCTGCTGCTGCCTGGGAAGGTGTAGACTGAAGGTCTTTGGCTAATGGAGGGATTCAATTTTTTTTCCAATATTGCCAAGCTTTTTTAGACAGTTTCAATTTTTTTTTTCCAATATTCCCAAGCTTCTTTAGACTTTGAATTCGATGTGTGCGGGTGCTGAAGGCTCCCTTTGGCACTTTCAGGGATGGAATTTTGCCTCTTTACTGTAGGTAAGGTTTCTAGGTGCATGTGGTCGTTGAGTACCGCAGGATCCACCTTTCACCTGTCCTTAATGAGGAAATTTTTTAATTTTCCCTGGGGGATGTTGCACCTTGGCTGCCAGGGCCCATCTCCCTTAGACAGCAGGCACAGTGGATTTACTCACACAGGGTTTGAGCTGATGCTGAGCTGCCAGAGCCATCCCCCATCCCTCCCTGGCTCATCCGAGGTTCCCCGAGGAAGGATTTGGATATTTCTGGGATATACTGTYGATATTTCTGTCGATATTTCTGTCGGTAAAGCATCCCCAGCCCCCTCCTGATGGCAAACCCCTAAAATCCAGCGGCTCTGCTCTGTGCAGGGTTGATTTTTCCACTCTCTCTTCTGCTCTTTCCATTCCAAACCCTTCACGTCAGCTTTTGGAGCCTCAGCAGGACTGTCCCATTGCTCGGATGCTGAGCACATGTGSTTCCAATCGCCGGGGTCACTCTCTTTCACCACAGCCCATTCCGGGGGAGGGCGAGCATCCTTTTATCTCTCATTTCTCCTCTCGGGACGCTTTCTCTCCCCATCCCCATTCCACAATCACAGGCGGGCGGCTGCAGGCAGCGCGCTGGGGCCAGCCCGCGGTCACTGCGAGCGCTGGAACTCTCGGGAGAAGGCGACCCTTGGCCCCTGTGTGTTTGCCAGCCAAGGAACACAGCGAGCAGATGTCCCGGAGCACATCCCGAGCGCTCGGAGCATCCCCCGGGGAGCGCGGCCGCCTCCAGCCGCTGCTCCGAGTGCGAGGAGCGCAGCGGAGCTGTCTGCGAGGAGACGCTGCTCCTGTTTGTTTTGGCCTCAAATGCTGTCAGGGTAACTGCTCTGAGCCTCAGCGGGGCTGTGCAGCGCTTTGGGTTCTCCTCATCGCTGAGGAATTAATCCACACAGCTTTTCCCTGGTCCTGCTTCACACAGGAAAAGAGTCTGAGAGGACAGAAAAACCTCAATGTGTCTGTGTCTGTCACAAAAGCGCAGTGCCGGTGCGGGGAAGGTGTTTTGTTTCTCAAAAGTTTCATTTCAAGGCCCTCTGAGCTTTAAATATTTGAGTGTGGGACTCGTCTTGAGCGCTCCGCTGATTTAACTCGCGAGTCACGCAAGCAAGTTTGACTCCAGATGTAATTCCTTGGCCATAAAAGTCGTTGTCAGCCTCCTCCTCCTCCTCCTCCAGCAGCTCAAATTCGGAATCTGCTGCTCGCAAAACGCTCGGGGTTTTTCTCCTCGGCACCGCACTGGGGGCAGGCTCTTGGTTTTTCATCAAGAAACCCAGTAAATCATTTCCTACGGGACTGCAGCAAGATGAGACTCCAACAGATGTGAAATGTCTTGAATTCCTGGCGTGAGGGAGGGGTTCAGAGCAGCAACACCACAGGCTGTCCTGGGCTTTTTGTTTTTAACTCTCGAATATATTATTCCTGTTTATGCCGGATTTAGGCACGTTCTGTTTGCAGACACTTTGATTTTAGTGCAGGAACAGTGAGGAAAATGCAGGATTATTCAGCTGAAGGAACTCTCTGGTGTCGTTCTGTGTTTTTTTCTTTTTTATTCTCTCTGGGCTGATTCAAGCTTTGAGTAGGGAGTTCTTGTTTATTTGGATTATTTTTACTAAACTGAGGTAATTCTGCATTTCAGCCGGCAGGTCTGGCTGAGAGCAGCTAAAACACACAGGGTTCTTCATGCACTGAGGGTTTCTTTCCAACAGCCTGGGTTTTGGGGGAGAGTGTGAAAGTCAGGACCACAGGGACAAAATTTCCTCCTCAGCAGGACCCATTTTCAAGTCAGTAGAGCCCCCCAGATTGAGGATGACTTTCAGGAGTGTCCCCCAGAACGATGCACATTTTGGATATTCACCTCTTGAGAGAGCTTTGCTGTCAGTTTGGACCACACAAAGGATTTTGGGGCGAGTGTGTGACTCAGGATCACAAGGATAAACCTTCCTTCTTAAAACAATCCCATTTTCAGTTTGGTAGAGTCCCCCAGATGTGACGATGAGTTTCAGGAATGTCCCCCAGAACAATGCACATCTTGGATATTCACATCTTAAGTGAGCTTTCCTGTCAGTTTGGGCCAGATAAAGGATTTTGGGAAGAATTTGTGACTCAGAACCACAGGGCTAAACCTTCCCCCTCAGCAGGATCCCATTTTCAGATCAGTAGAGTCCCCTTTTCAGGTCAGTAGAGTCTCCCAGATTGAGGATGACTTTCAGGAATGTCCCCAAGAACGATGCACATGTTGGATGTTCACATCTCCAGTGAGCTTTGTTGTCAGTTTGAGCCACACAAAGGATTTTGGGGTGAGTTTGTGACTCAGAACCACAGAAACCAACCTTCCTCCTCAGCAGGATCCCATTTTCTGTTTGGTAGAGCCCCCCAGATATAAGAATGACTTTCAGGAGTGTCCCCCAGAACAATGCACATTTTGGATATTCACATCTTAAGTGAGCTTTGTTGTCAGTTTGGGCCAGATAAAGGATTTTGGGGAGAGTTTGTGACTCAGGATCACAAGAACCAACCTTCCTTCTCATAAGAATCCCGTTTTCCATCAGTGGAGCCCCCAAATTGAGGATGACTTTCAGGAATGTCCCCGAGAACGATGCACATGTTGGGTATTCACATCTTAAGTGCACTTTGAGCTACATAAAGGATTTTGGGAAGAGTTTGTGACTCAGGATCACAAGGACCAACCTTCCTCCTCTAAAGAATCCCATTTTCCATCAGTGGAGGCCCCAAACTGACGATGACTTTCAGGAATGTCCCCAAGAATGATGCACATTTTGGATATTCACTTAAGCAAGCTTTGCTGTCAGTTTGGGCCAGATAAAGGATTTTGGGCACAGTGTGTGACTCAGGACCACAGGATGAAAATTTCCTCCTCAGAAGGATCCCATTTTCCATCAGTGGAGTCCCCCAAATTGAGGATGACTTTCAGAGCATCCCCCAGAAGGATCCAGTTGAGATCCCATCCCCAGGGGACAGCTCCTGTTCCAGAGAACACAATGGGCTGTGACACCGAGCTTTGTTCACCTCTCCTGTCACAATTTCACCCAGGAAAAAWTTTGATTTTAACGAGCAAAAGCAGGTAGAGCACCTCTGACAGGGAATGGTTTGGACAGGGTACAAACTGTGTATGGAGGGAAGGTTTCCTCAGCAGCAGATTTCAGGCRTTCCCTGAGTCGTTTCCGACGTCTGGAGCTGCAGGAAAATCACAGGATGGGATTTTAATACTCCCTGGATGTCAGGGCCTTGGAATAGAGGTTTAAAAAGCAAAATAAATTGGTAAAAAAACCCCAAAATAAATTATGAAAGTTTGAAGAAATTACAAAAAAATGTTACTGATAAAACCCAAAAYAAATTTATAAAAAACCCCAAAATCAATCATAAAAAGCAGAAATAAATTATAGACTATGATACTGATAAAAACCAAAATAAATTGATAAAAAAACCCAAAATATATTATAAAAAGCCGAAATAAATGATAAAAAATGTTGCTGAAGGACAAACTTCACAGATATTCCCGAAGAAACTGAAATTTTTAAAGACACAGTTTGGGTATCCACATCTTCAGCAAGCTTTGCTGTAGGTTTGGACCACACAAAGATTATTTATTATGCATTTTCTTTCATCTAAATTCCCTTTTCTAGGCTGTTCCTCCTAATTCCAGCAGTTAAATGATACAGCCCAAGCTATTACTTTTTAAATAGCAAGCATCTATTTTTAGCTTTTCACTCCCTAATTCAAACCTTCTGAACYTAATAAAAGATTTAAATCCTAAAGCTCTCTGGCTTTTAGGAAGTGAATTTGCCTACAAATAAAAAACATCAGCAAAGCATTTATTTCCCCTTYGATTCTGCTTGTCTGGCAATGCATATTTGATGTTGGGATGTGTGTTTGTGGAGCTAAAGGTAATTGCAAATAATTTTACATCAATGGATGTGAAAATGTGGGAACCTGGCGAGGATTTGGGAGTGGAAACACAATTTTGGATGGATATTATTAATAATAAATACATAATTAGTAATAAAGAAAGGTAATTCTAAATAATTTTACATCAATATTCATGAAAATGTGGGATCTGGTGAGGATTTGGGAGTGAAAACACGATTTTGGATGGATATTATTAGTGATAAAGACATAATTAGCAATAAGAAAAGGTAATTGTAAATTATTTTACATCAATAGACCTGAAAATGTGGGATTCTGGTGAGCATTTGGATGTGGAATCACGGTTTTGGATGGATATTATTAATGATAAAGTCATAATTAGTGATAAAGACATAATTATGATAAAGAAAGGTAATTTTACATCAATGGACGTGAAAATGTGGGATCCTGGTGAGGATTTGGGAGTGAAAATATGGTTTTGGATGGATATTATTAGTGAAAAAGATATAATTAGTGATAAAGATATAATTAGTGATGAAGAAAGGTAATTTTACATCAATGGACATGAAAATGTGGGATGCTGGTGAGGATTTGGGTGTGGAATCATGATTTTGGATGGATATTATTAGTGATAAAAAGGTAATTGTAGATAATTTTACACCAATGGACGTGAAAATGTGGGATCTTGGTGAGGATTTGGGAGTGGAATCATGATTTTGGATGGATATAATCAGTGATAAAGACATAATTAGTGATAAAGATATAATTAGTGATGAAGCCAAGTGCAGTCTGGGTTTACTCAGCGTTTTCTGCTCTGTAAGGTTCCTGCATTCCACCCCTCTCAAAGGGCTGATCCTGAGGAAATTCAAACCCTCTTGGAAGGCACAATCACAACGAGAAGTCCTTAAAATGCTGAAATTCGTTCTGAGGAATTCTTCCAGCCTGACATCTCTGCAKGAGGGATCCAGGCTGTTGTCCATAATTTAYTTTTTTTAAATTAAACTCCACCACATGTTGAAAAAAGAAGAAACTGAGAGGCCAAAAATCCCTTTGTGTCCTTCCCTTGATCTACCACTCTTGTGTGGGCACTGCTTTGGGCTTGATGAAAATCTGGATGGTTTTGGGATCGATTAAAATCTTTTTTTGCTGTTTAATTTGATATTTTTTAAACCTCTCCTTGGAGATTTAAACACGGGGAGGGAGGAGAGGATGGTTTTCCCAGATCTGCAGGGTGCAGGGTGAGTTATTGTCCTTGGAACAATGGAGGGAACAGTTCCTGCTCTGCACCCAAAGCCTGTAGGGCAATGATTCCAAAAGCATAAAAAACATGAGAAAACAAAACAAAAACAAGAAAAAAAACCCAAACAAACAAACAGAGAAAAAAAC